AGGCTATCCAGAGTCACGTTTGTTACAGGATCTGGCTTTGGGAAGGCTGATACAAATAAAGAAAGACATTTGATAAAGCTAAGTGAAAGCTTTTCCAAAATGGAACGCGTAAACTAATCTTATCTACTGAGTGGGAGGTCCGTATGAGAGCAATTGCGCAGTTTTTTTTTTCTATACGTACCAACCTAGACCGATAAATAATGGTAATAGGAACGAGAGGAATTGGACGACAAGAAGTTCTGTTACCAATTAATCATAACATTTGCAGTTTCCAAAAGCAACAAATATATTTAGGTCAAATATCTCTGATAGAGACAATGTCTAAAGGAAAAAAATTTCTCCATTTTGGAAATTCCTTAATTGTTTTGAGGATAAGTGGTTGTTGCTATAGTTATCGTGATTAATTCTGTGATTGGTGGATTTGGCTGAGTGGACTTGGTTTGATTGGCTACTTCAACTGTCCGATTACAGTCAACTGTCCGATTACACTGTCCAACTCTGTAGAATGATTAGTAAAAAATAAAGCAGCTAACGCACCAATCATGTTTGAGGAAATTATAATAGTTATGATTAACAGCATATTTTTATCATTCTGCCGGTTTACTGTTCCGCTTCGTTGCGTATGATGCGAAAAAAATCCGCACCTTGGTTGTTGTTATAAAAAGCTGGTTCGGTTACGAGCCCTTGATTTCCAAATCAGATTCGAAGATTTGAGATTGATGATTGAGATTACAACATTTAAAAATTAAAATGGCAGTACCTTGTATTTTGTGTTATCCATTGAACGGTATAAACGATTCGGCGGAAAGGTGGGCGATATTATTATTTAAGTTCTCCGTGAATGGGAGTTGAACCCATGACATGGGTTTCACTCCCGTAGTGGCCTAAACATTTGTTTTCACTTACCGACGCTATTTGACTTGAGTCCGTAGCTTACAGAAGAGTTTTCTGTCAGAACAGCAACTCTAAACGAGAAATTAATGTCTTTGAACTCAGCGCGCTGGTTTTTATCTGGAGTAAAGGTACACAGGTGATGAAAGGTGAGCATCACCT